TGAGCATGTAGTTGAATATAGCTAAGCTTGAATTGTTTGGAATCAAAGGAAATCAGTTCATATCATTATTAGCAGTTGCATCTGCAAATTATGTACATGTACATTCACAACTTTTTGTTATGGACAGTATTATTATATTAGTAACTACAAAATTGGTCTGTAAATTTTCAAGCTGGTGTTCAGGTATAAAGCAAATAAAATAATTGGAGAAAATTCAAAGCAGAATTTAATTTTAAAACTGCTGTTCAGTAATTCTCAAGACATGTAATTCATTTGTTCCTCTTCAAACATCATGGACTACACCTTTTTCTTGCCAATTGTGCATGTAATTATATAGTTCTTTAAGCTATCAGTAGTTACTTAGAACTTGAAAACTCTGTAAGTGCAACTGGTAGCTGAAACTTTTTTAAAAAAGTTGTTGAGTGACATAATATCTGCTTTTTTTCCATTGTAGTCCTTTGAACGCATTATTTGTGAGAACAGAATTCAAGACCTTCAGCCCAGTTTGGCCACTGCTGTTAAAAGCATCAACAGATGGCATCTGATCCAGTCCTCAGTACCTTACATCCTACAGTGCTGTTCCTTGCTCCTTTCAAACAGGGGCCGCCTAGGTAATGTTGATAGACTTGGTAATGCCGAACGTGAACTGTTGTACACGCTGCACTGGATCCTGCTGGAGGCACCTCGTGTCTGTTGTGTTGTAGACACTGATAGCCTGCTGTATCCTCTAGCCACAATAGAGCAGTTTGTTCATGAGCTCACACCTCATGTTTACCGCATGCAAGAAAGTGACCTGACCTTTAGATTAGAAAATGGAGTGGCCATCTGGGGACCTCTTTGGAAACATGAGAAGCCATTGATAACTCTATTCACCAGTGAAGTGATTACAAAAGATGCAGAGCCTGACATCGATTCTCCCTCAGTTGTTGAATCAGATCCAGAATTTTCAGCTGCTACCTTTTTTGATGTTGCTGTTTTGAAGTGTTTGTCATCAACAGGTTGGGATGAGAATGGTGTTGTGTGGGCACTGCGTTACCTAGCTGCCTATCTTAAGAAGGAGTTTAACCTTCCTGATCAAGAAAAAGGCGGAGAGCCTTCAGGGGAAATCCAAGTTGATATTCCTGTCGATGGGTCATCATTTGGAAGTGACAATCCAGACACCAAGCCTAAAGATAGCTCAATACGGGGTGATACACCAGGAAGAGAAATGACAAAATCAGATGGAGAAGAGTTGGATAAAATCACTGGGAGTGACGCACCAAATCTAGAATCTGGGATTTCCAATGACCCAGAGAAACTCTCAGTGTGTGCGTGTCAAGTGGAAAGCGATGTCAAAGTCAGCATTGTTATGAGAGAGAATCAGGAATCTGCTGTTTCTAAAGGTTTTGAAAATTTGCAACTTGCTCTTCCTCAAAGTACAGCAATGGATGGGGAAGAACAAAGCCTGCCATCACCATCTAATGACCAAGGGAATACATGTATCTCTGGTGGTCTTGATGGAGAAAGACTGACTGCCCCAGGACTTGAGCGCACAGGCTCAATAAAGTTTAGAATAAGGGTGCAATCTTCCCCAGGGTTTTCAGCAGGGGGAAGAGTATTGACAGCTGTAGCCTCACCAAGTAGAAGTGCTTCCCAGCATGAGCTCAAGAACACAACTGATGATAATTTCCAAGACATTGCTGACAACAGAACATTTCAAAGTCCCAAAGTTTACATTAAACCATCCAATACTCTTTGTTTACCTTCAGTGAGTACAGAGGATGCAAATTCATGTAGGCAAGACAGCGGAGGTCCATTGCATCTTGAAGCTCAAGCAGACGAAACTACCAGCAATGAAGTTTCAACAATCAGGTTTCCTTCTGAAACCCCACTGGAGGTTCACCCAGTAAAGTCATTGGACACTGCCATTTTAAGCCCTAATGAAAGTGCTTTAACTGCGCCACACTGTAATGAGCAAGCTTTCTCAGGCCCTGGTCAGATGCATCTAGTAAGTAGTCAAGAATTAAACATTTCCTCTGAAGTTTTTGAAAGCAAAGTTTCATATGAATGCGAAGTCCAAGATTCCCGAACAGTTGCATTCCAAACAGAAGGTGGGACAACAAATGATCAGTTGAAGGATGCATCACTTTACAAACGTCTTTCAGAACATGCAAGCTCAAGTCATGCAAGCAGCAGCTCAGTAGAAAGTGAAAGCCAGCCATTATTAAAACCTTCACCACTTGCCACAGCACATGTAAAACCCTTAACTATTCAGGGTTCTCTTGATACTCCACGAAGCAGCATCAACCGAGACTCATTCACAAGAACAGACAGGTATTTTGTCTTTCCAGGTGCAGCTGACTACATCACTGCTGATGGTAGACTGAGTTCTCTGGTGATTCTGCAGGCCCTCAATAGCATCATTCGGGAGAACCCTTCATCCCTTGTCTGTGATGCTGCCATCACTGTTCTGCAGCAATTAGTAACAGTTAATGAGATCAAGAAATCAAAGAAAAGGGGGAGTTCTATGGAGATTGACGATAGGACTGTTGCCGAGACACAGGCAGTGGGCTTCAGGAGCCCTCACAGTGACAATGTCCTGGGTAGACTGAGAGCCAGCTTTTATGGAAAACCCCCAAGCTTCCTCAGCCTAGCAATGGGTTGTTTGTTCAGTCTTGTCAAAGCCCTGGGATGCCCTTTAGGTAAAGTAGTTCATTTCAAGAAATGTAATTAAGACCCTTTCATGGTTTCTATGCCATGTTGCTTGGGAGGTAAAAACAGCAAAAATTGTTAGTAGTGAATGTATGGGAAAAGTTAAAAGTTTGATGCCCAATAAGTTACTAAGGAGTGATTGACTTTCTGAGTATTTTATGAGTTACAAGAAAAAGATAACCAGCAGAAGAGTTTTTGGTCAAAATTAATTTGAGGAACATAAATCTGCTGTGAGGCAAGGAATTGCAATTGTTATAATTTTCCCTGCAAATGTCTCTAAATTTCTCATGCATTGCAATCCGGTTTTACAGACAAATGTATACATGTAGAGAATAAAAGCGAGGCTTTTTCCCTCAAATGGGATCAGTAAATTCTTCTACCTGGAGAGTATACTTTAGATCTTTAGTTTTAAATTTCTAGTAAATACTTCAGACCTCCAATTTTTCATGAGTTGTTAGACATTAGTTTCTCCATTTCGCCATACATTAAGATTTACTGTTAGTAGTTTTTGCCATGTACAGTGTATGCCCCTCAAACAAGATGGCGTCAGAAACCTGAATAGGTCTATAGCAAGGCTTTTAATTGATTGTTTTAAATTTTTGAACAATCTTACACGTAAGCTTCTTTTTATGCATTGGCTGTTTTGTTGTTTACAGCAAGTTTCCTGGAACATTATCAAAACAAGGACAGAGTCCTCATGCTCGCAGGATTGATTTTGATTCAGTATAATAATTACTGTTGCAGGATGTGGAGAAGGCTGTCGTGGGATCTCAGGAGATCGACTCCGAAATCTAGCTAATAGCCTGCTCTCCCAGCTTTTCCGCAGTGATGAAGCTGCCTTCAAAATGTGGCTCCAACAATTTGCCAGATTAGAACCCCATGAAGACCTGGTGGATTTCCTTCATGCCTTGGTTGGCTTTTGTGAGGAAGAGCAAGAGCAGTCAGATGATGAGATGGAAGCAGTACCAAAGTCAGGAACAAGAACCAGGAAGAAGAGCCTTTTTACCTTGCCAGAAGGTGTAAATGGTGTCATTATTGGTGGTGTTTTTAAGATATTAATCAGTAGAGTGGCAGAGATGAATTTCTTTGACCTAAAAAACTTGGTGAGTGCTACTGTTTACTATTGTGTATTTTAAGGTATATTATTACTGTTAATAGAAACTTCTTTGAATTTTGTCTGAGTAACAAGGCTGTTTCACCTCATAAAAAAACGGCTCAAATTACTGTAGGAGTATGTAATCAAAGTTTCATACAATATTGCCCAAACAATTCAGTTACACCTCAGTTCGTACCAACATTATTTTGTCCTTTGCATTTACATCTAAGTACACTGAGTACAGTAGACTGGATCTGAAAGTCTGATACATACACGTGTAGTTATTTTAATTCACAGCTTGCCATTACATGTATATACATGTGCATGTATGTGTACTTCATCCTAACCTTGCAGTGGGTTTATTTTCACTTTAGACTTTTTATGGTGAGTTGCGTCAACTTCTAAGGTATGTGAAAGAGTCATACGGCAGTATTTTCTGGAAGGTTGCCTTGAGTGGACTTATGGACTCAGCATACAAAGAAACAAAGGACCAAGCAGATGTCAGCAAAACCCCTGAGCAAGAATCAATAGCTAAAGGTGCATGGACAGTTGTCCAGAAAAGAGTCACAGCAAGGGCAAAAGTTGAGAGGACTGCAACTTATAAAGCCAAGCGCATGTTTCTACAGAAGTTTGCACGGGTTACAGCAGAGAGTTCTGAGAGTAGCAGCAGCTTGTCACAAACTCCAAAGTCACCGACTGGTGCCAATTCTAACTCCGTGGAGACAGTATTGTCTCCAAGAAGCAAGAGAAAGGTAATTTTGGTATGCAGTGTTAGTAGTAAAATGAAGCAACTGTGACAGATGACAGTGATCTTTGCAGTTTACATGATCATCTCCAATTAAAATTTGCCTGATTACTTGTAAATACAGATATGTAAGTCTATGAAGTGTGAAGCATGCAAGGAAAACTATTTTGAAATAATTGGTTATTGCACCATTTTGAAAGGAAGTGGTTTAAAATTTGTTTCAAACTGCAATCACAGTGACTGTCATAGAAATGTCATTTTATAAAATATTTAATAATTTTATTTGATAGTGTTCTCTATGTTATTTCAAATAACTTGCATGGGTCAATACGCGAAGGATTTCTCATAAGTTCCAAAGACTGTTATCAAACTGATAAATTGGGTAAAGAATGTAGATTAAAGATTTCAAACACTCATTATGATCCATCAACATGACTTTACAGTATTTCAACGACATTGTAACATGTGCCAAGATGTCCAGTGAAATTTAATACTGGGATGATCAGCACACTATATCTCCTTTCATGTACATTGTGAATACTATTTCCAAGCAGACAGTGAAGTAAAAGTAGTCAACCTCACTTACCTTTAAAATTCTCCATGAAATATGTCCAGCTGTGCAAGATGTCAACCTACTTGTATGATAGATCGATACTGCAATTTTAGTCACATAGCAGAGTTTACGGAATGTCTGTCAAGGTTAGGACTGGTTGGGTAGAGCTCATTATGTTGTAGAATTAACTCCAAGACTTGTAACTGTTAATGAATATTGCAGATATTCACACTTGGTACATGGAGAAAGCAAAAAGCTGTGGGCACACCTTATGATAGTGATGAAGACTTGTTGGATTCTTCTGAAGCTCCATCTGAGCATCCGCCATCAACCACAAGGCGCAAGCTTCTCAAGTCTAAGGCTTCAAGTAGGAAGAAGCTAGACGACATCTTCCCGATGGCCAAGAAAGGGGAAGGGTTGCTAAGCTCCTTCAATGAGCCCTCACTGCCTATTGACATTGTTGTGCATGAATTTGAAACTAAACCAGTTGACATAGATGCCCTCAGAGCCGGCATGGTCAGGTTTAGGTTTCTCCTTCATGGAAGTCAACCTGGCTCTGTGCCAGATCCTAAGATCTTAGCATCCATGCTGGACTTGGTAAGTTTTAATTGACTTTACCCATTGCAGGTTGAACTGAATGCCAAGAACCCAATAATTATTTCAAACGGTTTTGTTGTCATCAAATTTGGGCTTCAAAATGTTCACATCAAAAAGGATTTTATGATACTGTATGTTTCTTTCCAGGCAATTTTAAGTTTCTTGCACATGGCTTAAAAAGTATCATTGCCAACTGTTCTGTGTAATTGTCACTCAGCAGTACAAAGTATATGGTTAAGCATTCAAAATAATATTTTTTTCCAGGAAGCACCAGCTGTAGCCAGAGCATGTCTTCTGCTTGAGTGCTGCATACTTGTTCACAAATGCAACCAAGGGGAATGGCCGCAGTGGTTGCGAGGCAGTCTCCCTTCACTGGCCCATCGTCGAGGTGGCCACTCTCCAACTACTGGTTCACCATTCATGTTTGCTCAGCGCCGCAACCTTGTGGCCATGCATGATGCTGGTGTCTTGTTTCGTGCTTGGGGTGTAGCATTGGGAAAGAAACTGGAGCAGGTCTTGGCAAAAAAGAGGAGAACGATGCTGCCATCCATTGAAGAAGAAGGTGGAAAACCGATCATAAGAGATGAAGAGGATGTAGAGGAAGATTTCCTTGATGAAGGTACAGTAAAACTCTAATCACCAATGCCCAGAGTTATGTTTTATTAGGATACATGTATGATCAGGGGACTCCACTGATACAATTCTATGGAAACTGATCCTGTGATTCCTGATATGTCGTAGTATTAAATACATGGAACTGTTGTAAGCTGTGGTGGAAAAGTCCATGAACACGTTGTTCTTCACCCAAATATTGTACATTTTCATGTAGCAAGATGTTGATTAATTGTTCTATGAATTGCTAACCAACACATTTCTGTCACATTGCCAACCAACTTAGACTAGATGGTAAGAGGAACCAAGGGTCTGTAATGAACCTTGGCACATTGGAAGAGTAAAAAAAATATCAGAATTGTACACTAATTCACTTCATGATTCATACCACTCGTGAATCATCTTAAATGAGTCAAAATGCAAACTATTACTACGTTTACCTTTCTTCTGTATGGACATCTCATGTGTGAATAAAAAAAAAAACAATATTTGGAATCGAGTACATGTAAGTGATGCTAAGTAAAAATCTTTGACATACCACAAGTCAAAACTATAGTGTGTCAAATTTAAATGTTTCATGGATTACATCATGTGTTACATAAAACAATGAAGAGGTTAAAAAACTTATTGCAAGTTTTAGTTGTCTTACTGATCCATTTTTACCTTTTGCAAATTAAAGCCTGATGAATTCACAGTTGAGGACACTATTTATCTTACACATCTCACAGCTTGAAGGCTAGTAACTTGTGTTCTGTTACATATTTTGTTTCCCCTCAGCAACCTTGAATGAGTCTGTGAAGGTCTGTCCCTATCCAATTTTAATGATTGCCTGCCAACTTCTACTGGAGATAACAGCCTTCTTACGTGAAAGCCATGGTCTGTACTCTGTCAGCAAGCCTGTCTCCAGACCCTTGCATCGTTTTGTTGCAGGCAGAAAACGACCAAGTGTGAGCAGTCACAGACGATCCACTGCATTTTCCCCTGAAGTGCAGCAGCGTCGTTTAAGTGGTATAATTGGCAGTGGTCGTAGACCTAGCGTGTGGAGTCAATCCTCTCTGCAAACTGATTTTCCTTCTAGTCCCAGTAGAACCTTACAGGAACCACCAATGATAACTGTCTCTGGAACTGATCCTAGCAAACCTGAGACAGATCATGATGGAAAGAAAGAACGACGGGATAGTGCTGAACGAGCAAGAAATCGTCAGAGTCTGTATTTTCCAAGAGTCAGTACTCAGCACTCACCCAAAACAGCAAAACGGGTTGCCAAACGCAGTGCTATAGGTGGGGAAGGGGAGTCAGTGAGATTTAGATCAAAATCTACCAGGTGTGATGCCAAACATCTCAGTGTGGATGCATTGATGCTTGATGAAGACGATGAGTCAGATGATGAGGATCCAAGTCTTAACCTACCCTGGCTGAGTTCAGTTATCCAGTTAAACAGCCAAACTGCATTCCTGTGCGATCATCAGGGGCCCTGCCCAATCAACTGCCATCAGCGTCAAAGCCGCAGCTGCACTCGGATGGTGAGAGCGTTGAAGACAGTTTACAGTTCCTCGAACAAGCAAGATAAGACTTCTGACAAGCAGACAGGTAGAGGGCGTGGCAGTCCTCTGATCAGTGCACCACAAGTGGGCACTGTGGAGCAAACATCTAAGAAGGACAAAGCCGATGTAGATATGATACAGTATATATCATCAAGTGTAAGTGAAATCACTGTTATTGTAACAGGCTTTTACTGGCAAAAACGTGAGGTGAATTGATCAATTGTTATAGTTTTGGCATTCATGATTGTATTGACCCATTTACCTCATTAATGCACGCAGACCCGAGACTCAACTTCATTTACAGTTCTACACACTGTGTTTTGTTTCTTTTCAAGAAAACAATAACTTACAGATTATGGGAATGTCAATGTTTGATCTACAGAAGATTTGGACATACATTTCTCAAACTCATCAATAATTCATCTTGAGTTTAAACAAAGGAAATCATGTCCGTGACAGTGTTTGGATATCTGATCTTAATTAGCATAGATTTTTACGATTTTATTTCTCCGTTTTCTCCTTAATTTTGGTTTCGATTGGGAAGATATATCAAACACTCCAGACAGTGTGGCCACATTTCCAAACACCTCGAAGTTCGTCAAAAATACTCGGCTACGCGTCGTTTTTTCAACTCTCTTCTCGGTGTTTGGAAATGTGGGCAAACACGGTCTTTGGTGTTTGATATTTTACGTACCAGTCCGTGCTCAGGTCAACAAACTTAGTGAACCATTTTCCTGTTCTAACATTCATTTGCTTTCTCACCTGACTTCAGATTGCAAGTTTAACTCACTGTCCATTCTCAGTCATTGCAAAGGCTGGAACAGTCATTGACACTAGTCACCTGATGGAGACCCTTCCTGTGGTTTGGGAACTGCTGCTGGACGAAGATCAACAGCTGGTGTCATCTGCAGGTAAGCCGCTGAACAGAGGGCAAAGCCGTTTGAGGACTGATGCAAAGTATCTTTAGCTCCAAAGGGACCTTCAAGAAAATAGTCAGATTTGTTTCCTCTGCAAGGATGAAGAGAAATAAATCCCTCAGTCGCAATTCTTCACTAGGGGCAATCATTGATTTAAGCTCACTGCTGTTATACACCATGACTGACAGGAATACTTCCGGTTTCTGAAATTTCATTCAACTCAATTCTAGCTGTTATGAGAGACTCGCCGTTTGCAGCTCATTAATTCCGACGGTGATCATGTTGAAAGAGCATTGCCTTGTTAAATTATTCTGTCATCAACAAAACAGACCTAAACTCAATCCACTGGGTGTAAGGAAATGACATTCTACTTCCTTTACATGTTGTGTTTTACTGTTTAGCTGCAGTCTTTCTTCTCACTGGCATTCGTCTGAGAGACACAGTAGAGCAAATGTTACACAAAGAACTTATCTGCTCCGATGCCAATGAAAGAGTCAAGTCCCTCCAAAGGTATGTGTGTGTAATATTACATTTGTTGTATTACCCAGACACTCAGACTGATAATATTATGTTGACTCCGAGAGGGAGCTGTTCCAACAAGATGTACTCTGGAATGTGTTATAGTGTTGGCTTGGCTTCTTTAACTGTGCAGAATTCCAATGTTGTAATAATCGGTTGTAGCCTTACAAATGGTCATTGACATCAAGTCGCAAGAAATGGCAATTAGGTCGTGGAAAAGCCTTAGCTGAAATTCTGCTGCTTCTGCAAGTTCACCCCATGAAGAGGGAAGTGTTTTCGTGGGGTAATAGTGTAGGCTTATCCAGACAGCGTATGACTGTGTTTATCGAGTCTGGAGAAAGTAAAAATGATATCCTGGGTTTGTGTTGATTACAGTATGTTCAATTGTAGATTTGAGGTTCTTTGGCAATCCAGGTATCATGCTTGGCCAAGACTTGAAGAGGGAGCAAGAGTGATTTTAAAGGTATTTATTTTTCTTGACAGCAGAATATTAATATAATTGCATGCTTTTTTGTTCTTGAAAGCTGCAGCGGCTTGATGGTCAGTATGGTGACCAAGAGGTCTGAATGCTGATCTTGTGTTATTGGGCAAAGTACTTAACTGCAAATAATGGATGGTTGCTTCCTTGAAAACATTTGGAACCACAGTAGCCAGTGACAGGCGTCCACTCCATCTGGGGTGAGATACAATAGGGTTACTCACTTCATGCTGTGTAAACTACAGATGAACACCCAACCACTTACTAGGTATCGCCAGGGGCAAAGCAAGCATTGGGTGTGAAGGGGATTTGATGGTACATAATTCACCATGTATTACGTTTCATCTTTACTCATGAAGGTACCACCACCAAAAATTGACTTCACCCTCCCCTCGCCTACTGTGTGTTTGCCGTTAGGCCACCCCCCTGATTGCCCTTGGGATGCTCGTCTCATCTTGGAAGAACAGCAAGATAAAAAGAAGCAGGACAAGAAGAAGATCCCCAACAGTGGAGCTGAATTGAAAAAACAGCAGGAGAGATCTGAATTTCTATTGCGAGCTGTTCCAGTGTCAATGGAAGCAACAGTTGATGTTAATGTTGCAGAGGACGAGAAAGGTGAGCTGATTGTACCGTAATTGTCTCATTGCTGGATATTCACAACAACAACAACAACAATAATCTTTATTTTCTTTCATCGTAAAATTACGTGTTATTTGGCCCGCGGATAGCAAGTACTAATCTAGGCGGGCAAGTGCTAATCTAACTAGAGCCAAATTCGTCTCCTCAGAATGGAATTAAAGCGTTGACACAACAGATGTCGATAGGAACCATTTGCATGACCTTATCCCTTCGATCGTGGTCTTAAAATATTCAACATTATCCTCAAGTTAATGATCGCCATTAGTTCTTTTAACTCTAAACATTGGTCGCCATTTGAAGACGTTGTTGACGACAATGTATTGACTCAGTGAGGAAATGACGTTTATTGCCCCTCCGGTTTCAAAAATGTAAGCTAAGGAAAAGCAAACTTACTATCTTATTTTACATGCTTATATTAAATACGTAGGTAGGTTTTTGTTGAATGTTCAAAACTTTGTTTGTGTCTTCGGAACATTTTGATGCACTTCACTGCTTGCAATTTTGCACTTGACTTGCACATGTTCTTGTCTGTCACAAACTGAGCGGCACATATTATGTGTGATTAATTGTCATCTAGCTATTCATGTATAGTGTTGTATTTTACCTGCAGTGGTGATACAAGACTGCAGCAATGCTACATGTAAATCTCTGAGCACTCGCTATATGGGTATTCCCTGTGATTACTTGAGCAAATTTACTGCACACCTGAGACGGCATGTGCAGCCCATGTGCAGTCGGGCAAACAAATGTCATTTGCAACAACGTTTTGTACAAATACATGTAACCCAATAGTCTAAGGTGACTCCGAGAAATAAAATAATCTGACACTTTCTTTGTTCCCCGATTATACTGTTATGTTACTTTGGAAATTTTGAAAATGTAAAGAATAGGGAACCATACCTATTTGTTTGCATCGTTAACTCTGATTCAAAGGAGCAAGAAATACGAATAAAGAAAACTTCTTCTAAGATTATTATGGAAGACTTCATTAGCCATGCGGAGGGAAGTTATTGTAGAACATGTTTTATGAGAGAAGCTGGCAGCTACCAAATAAAATAGGGCAAATTCCTCCTGGTGTGCACGTACTTTCGAGGTCAACAAAGATTTCCTCGGAATAAGGAGTAAGTTAACATTTTCAGGGGTTTTCAACTTAAATGATGCCTGAAACGAAACGGTCGTCATAGTTGTTTACGATATGAAAGACCATTTGCCTTACCACCAAAGAAATGGTTCCATGTACGAACGTTGTGCACACTAACTACTTACGCGATTATGCACAATTTTGTACAGTGTGACACACAAGGAAATCACATTGTGTACGCATCCACTGCTGTTGGAGGTGCTCCGTGTAGGCTTTCCATTCAAGAAAATAATCAGCACAAAACAGCATGTTGCTTTTTTTTGCACTGGCACAACATTGTCATGGATACCACTGTCTCCATGATGGATCACAACACTGGCAATATCACGAGCATTAATAACAGCACCAGCATTGGCGGCACCTGCACTGACGTGGGCACATTCATTGGTACAGCACGATCATAAATTCATGATAAAAAATGCACGTGTTCGTCATTGTTTTGTTCTGTTTTTTGTTCCTTGCTGTGGATTTCCAACAGAAAAGTATGCCCGCATGGATGTTTGGCATTATCATTTGGAAAGTACGGAAAACTCGGAAGATCTGCAAGGAGGAGGCGGAGGTTTGAACTATTCTAACAAAAATACTCCCTATTTAATGTTACTAACGCAAAATGATTGCTGTTACTAACAAAAGTACTCTGTATTTAATGTTACTAATGTAAAATGACTGCTGTTAGTACTGTGGAGGTTTTTAAGCTTGGTAATTTGTATATGCATGAATGATTGATGCATGGGCAACTGCATGCTGTTTGAGCCTTTAGGGTTAATACAAGTGGCATTAGATTCTTAAATGCACCTCCCATTATGCATAAGTGATAAATTGCATGGACAGTTGCATGCTGCATGCTGTTTGAGTCTCCAGGTTAATGCAAGTGGCATTGGATTCTTACCTCCCAATTGTGCATGAGTGATGAATTGCATGGACAAATGCATGCCGTATGCTATTTGAGTCTCCAGGTTTAATGCAAGTGGCACTGTAATACACTACTACCTCCCGATTGTGCATTAGTGATGAATTGCATGGACCAATGCAATGAGTCTCTAGGGTTAATGCAAGTGGCAATGTAATCCTACCTCCCGATTGTTGAACGACTAGAGTTATATTAGGTACCTGGATCGAGAAAAGAACACTGTACGTATGGGTTATTGACCAAGTGTGAGGTCAAGATGGCTGGATATTGGCCAAGTTTTTTTCTTGCGAGTTTANAATCACGGCGCAGGATTTGTTTCATCTTGCCCGCTCGCGGAGCTAGCCATATAATAATAATACATACGATGGCCCAGAGTGACTGAGAGTCTAGTGTGTAGCAAATTTCCTTCCACTATTTTACCAGGTTGCACTCACGAGTAGCCTTTATTTGTTTATTCACTTGATTGAAGTTCTGAGACATTGCGAGTGTCAAATTTCTTTCCCACAACGGAAGGACCCTGTCCAGGCGCAAAATAACAATGCCTGGGTCAAGCGCAGTGCTTGACTCTAAGCAGTCAAACCATAGGGCCTCCGACTAATAGTGAAAACGCGTGGCTGAATTTATGAAGATAATTAACTAGGCTATAGGCAGCTGTCGACTCTCAATGGTTCCAAAAACTGATCGTGAGGCCAAAAAGCTTGGCGTAGTTCTGAACTCTGGATGGACTGACTGAGAAGGCGTGCCTTGATGTGAAGCTCTGGTTCTAACCCAGTGACACCATGTACCAATCCTTGGATAGCGTCCCATGAAAGGCCTGCCAGATGAGTCTACGAGCTTGCAATAAACTGGAAGAAAGATCATCGGTCTTTTGTGGAAGTCGTAGCTCATGAAAGTGTTGTAGTATACAATGGTTTATGGCTACAGTTTGAAGGACATAGTGTAGAACTTGTAGTATAAGAGTAAGTGTGGTGCCAATGGTACCCATTTGTACCGTAGTTTTTGTGATAAAAATGTTGCAAAATAGTAATTTCTGCATGCCTTTAGCTGCAAAGTACTAGTCATCCCAAACAGACCAAGGAACCAAGTGTCGTTTTGTGCCCTCAAAAAGCTCTCGATTCTTTACATCGGACACAAAAATAACCCGCGCGTTTTGATGAGGCTAATATTTTTGACTGTTTTCAAGGTGAAAGTCAACAAGTAGAAGCGGAGTTATGGCCACAAGCAGTGTCATCCGCAATTCCTGACATCATTAAAATGATGGATGATGTCCTTGTTGATAGTGACAAAATTGCTGGTAGGTCTCTCAATTAAAGTGTTGTCTACATGCACTTCTGTGTTACCTTCGTCTAGCATTGTAATTGCCTTTAAGAACTCTTCAAATGTGCACTAACTAAGTAGAGAAAACGTGATGGTTTTTCCAACCTCTGAGGTGCAAGTATAAAGTTTTTTTTTTCTCTTGACTTGGCATAAGCCCGTTTTCCCGCTCTTGGTAACCTGCGAAAACAGCTGTTCTTCCTCGCTCTCGCCCAGAGTGGCGAAGAAAGGCGGCTGTTTTTGCAGGCTACGCTCTTGGCAAGGTTTCGTGTTTTGCTTCCAGTTCTGGTTCACTGGATGAATTATTTGTATTTGGTTGTGATTGCTCGGCCAGATGTGATAATTGTAGGTTTCTCCTTTGTGGTGTTCTTTTGAAAACTTAAGCACACGTTACAGTGACAGCTTTTGTATGAAAAAACAAAACAAAAAAACTATACAATGCAACCTTGTTTTTACGAACCTCTATATATAACGAAGTCCTCGGTATAACGAACGATATTCCTCGCTCCAGTAATACTAAAATATATGGAAAAGAACCTCGATCCAACAAAACCTCGTTGCAGCGAGCATATTTTGCCAGTCCCGTGGCCCTTCGTTATATCGAGATTGCACTGTATTATTTCCCATATTGTCTGGAAAAATAAGGTCATTTTGCTGGTAAAATTACCTGATGATTAAAACTGAAAAGGTATGGGAGATGTATACTGTAACACAAGAAACAAGACATCTGGTTGCGGCAATAAGATGTAGGCGCATTGATGTAAATCTTTTTTTTTTTTAATCTTCAGTGATGGAAGTCGCCCGTCGTCTGGTGTGGAGGTGTCTAGTTGATGACCCAGTTCTTTTCTTTAGGACTATTTTAGAGCAGTTGACAAAGAAGGACAAGCAGGTCAGTTTGGAGTCTTCTCTCTGCCTTCCTGATTGTGCCCTCTTCTTTTCTTTACAGAATTGTGTCTCAAAATGAAATGTTTAGAGTATAACTGCTTTGCTTTCAGATCTGTACTTCCACGAAAACTGTTTCCACAAATGCTATAATAGGTTGTTCTAATAAACTTGAACTGGTCTTCCCCCGCTGATTTTGTATAAATGTTTTTCTCCAAGCCGAGGCGATTATTAGAAATAGGCCTTTTGCACGACCTTGTCACATTGTACAAAATTAGCCATGCTGGGTCGCATGGTACGTAATGTGACTTCCAAAACAAGGAAATCGTACCAGCCTGACGTTCCTTTGTGTTGGAAGTCTCAATGTGTAATTTGCGTCCCACCATGGCTGATTTTGCAGCTTGTGGCTTATTCCTAAGTAGAACGGGAGATCATGCGGCATTTTTCAAGGACGTTACATGACGTTTTGTTTTCGTTCAAACAGGAGGAACACATCTCGTTATTAAGGAAACTGCTTCTCTACATCACAGAACTACCGCAGACGTCTTCAAGATTTCTCATCAACAATCTGGTCAGTGACCTAACTCACCAATGACCATGCTCATTGCAGTATGATCTGTTTATTCTCATTATCGTAAAGTGCGTCCAAGACCACATAATAGAAAACAGCGCAGAGTTGATGCAACATGAAAACAGTGTGAGTTGTGCGCTAGCGCTCATTGATAAATTGGTGCTGTGTTACGAAGTCCTACAACTTCATGTACACGGACAATACACCCCATTGATTCTGAGGAAAAGTTTTCAGATTTTGTCGTTTTCCAGAGTTTAGTATTTTTTTTCTGTTCTCAATTTTTTTCTTTGTTTTCGTGCCATTTCCTAGCGGTTGGAATACTTTGTTCAGCATGTTTCAACAAATGAAAAGAAGTGTTTAGCAATTTGATCGTCGATTAAATTGCAGTCCATTTTATTATAGATCGGTGTGGCTATGTATTATGCCAGAACTAACAAGCCTGGTTCCCAGGACTCGCTCGCTTTGGTGTTGTCCCTTTTGTGGCAGGTAGGTGGCGATTAAAGATTTCTTGCGTAGCAACACACCTAAGTTCAACCTCGTTCCTAGGGTCTCTCATCTTACCGCCCTCTGGAGCGAGCGAGGAGAGACTCGTCTCTCCTCGCTCGCTCCAGATGGCGGTAAGATGAGAGACCCTGGGAACGAGGTTGACCTAAGTTCGTTTTCACGACCGTTTAGAATCGACCGTCATTTTGTTAACAACCGCACACTGCTAGGCTACTCACTATCTACAACAGAATAGATAGTGAGTAGCGCAGCCAATAAGAGAACGACATTCGTGATAGAACGCTTAGTAGATTTATTCTAATATCAAATATTTTCTTTAACAGGCAGTGCCCAGTGTACGTGGATTTTTCTTTAAGGATCTCAAGCAGTGTCTGCGAAAGGAACACTGTGATGTGAGTGAAATCCAAACTTATATCAATTTGATTTTCACGTATTTCATCTAAGTGCATACTATTCATCCAATCGTTATCTTATTTTGTTTTTAACAGAATGCCCTGCGTATCAGCTCAAACGTTCCTGGCGCAAAGGTACTTCTTCTAGTTTCTAAAGCTTTTTGTGTATTCGCATTCTGTTAAATCTATCAATAGACCAATTTCGATATATTAGAATTCAGGCTAAAACAGTAGACTTCAGTACGAGGCTCTGGGGAATAACTACAGAGTTTGTGGGGTTTATTCCCTAGAGCCTCGTGCTAGGTCTATTGTGTTAGGCTGAATTTTAATATATCGAAATTGGTCTATTCTGGACTTTTATCGCTAACATTTAAGGATAAAAAGCGTAAAGTCGCCTCTGTAGATTCTTTATACATTTCTCCGTCGTTTGTTTTGCTGTCTTGATGAGGATTATGGATAACTTGAAAACGCGGTTTTAATACACAATCAAAGAACAAAAGTGATTTTGGGGAAGCTACCCATTAAAGGACCGTCAGCCTTAGCCATTTTCGGTGCCATCAACATTATTGATATTGCATGGTGAAGCGAAATCTTATTGCTTTACTGTAGGTTGTGTTCTTGAAAGTATGTTTAATTTTCTTTAAACTCATCACAAATAGATGAGCTTGGGAACTGGTGCCTTAAAGGTTAGCGGGGTGCCAAAGCCATAAGCCGCTAGGAGGTATCCATTGCAACCCTGGAAAGCAGGAACCACCCAATGAGCGTCCGCTAACCAGCACCGTCACACTGAAAGAAATTCAGTGGAATCTACTTACCTGGAGAATACTTA